GGCAAGTGAGGAGAGTCCAGTCCCTTGCACGTAAAATTGTGAAGTTCGGTCCACTGACCGAGCCGCATGTAGCGCAAGCCCAGACAGAGTGGCTTGCAATCCTGCGAGCCCCGGGATACTCTGGGTCTTTTCCATCCTGGGTACTCCAGTACCACCCTGAATTCGAACTCGTGCCATTCTCCTGCCCTCCAGGTCCTCGAGCATGATTGCCGTAATGCAGTGCAGCAAGAGTGCAAACGAAAGAAAGCCATGTCAGCCTTCGCGACCCAGCTTGACCTAAAAGACTTTCACTCCTCGGTAGCCTATCAGAAGGTACGAGACCCGCCTTTTGCAGCCATCTCAGGACTCCAGCACACACACACCCTGGAGGCGAGAGTCTTTGTCAGCCCTGATGACCCTACGTTAGGCCTGATCGATCTTCCCAAGCCGCGCGGCCTTAAACCACACACGGAAGTTGAAATCAATGGCCTTAAAGTGCAAATGCTTGACTTGAGCGAGGCAAAAGCTTTCGTTAAAAGTTGCAAACCCCTGGACCTCCCTTCAGGTGATCATGTGACTGTCACCCAGGAACAGGCAGTCTACACACCTGATGACCTCCATGAAGCATTCATCGCATATTGGACACCGTTCTGGTGTAGAGACAGCTACGAATCTCAGTTTGACCTGAGCCATTGGCCAGAGTTTGAGCAGTTGCTGCCTTACTTGCCTGCGCATGACCCTCTTGATGTCGATTTACTGGATACGAACCTTTGGATGACTGCCTTCCAAAACATACGGAAGAGCACCTCGCAAGGGGTTGATGGCTTCCATGCTGACGAGTTGTGTATGCTCTCGCGTCCCATGGTTGCCCACCTTACTGCCATCCTTGCGGGTTTCCAAATGGATGGATGGCCCAGCTTCTTGATGCAAGCCAGGGTTTCCATCATCCCAAAGAGAGCCCAAGCTAGCCACGCTGCGCATGGACGTCCCATCACCGTCCTGGCGTTGGGGACGCGTGGCAGTGCGGCAGGTACTGGGTCAATGGATGAGCCGTCTCCCTCCCTCAGTGAGTGGATGCCTACCAGGCAGAGACGCGCAATCCACCGCCTACACACTCCAGCACCTTGTTGAATGCACCCTTGAATCTGGCTCTTCGCACACAGGGTTCTGCATGGACCTCTCCAAGTGCTTCAACCTGATACCACGCTGCCCAGCCACTGCCATCCTTGTCCAACTGGGCCTCCCAATTGAGCTTGTAAACACGTGGCTGCAAAGCGTGGCCAAGGTTCGCAGACTTTTCCAGGTTAAAAGCAGCCTTAGTGTGCCCCTGCCCTGTACAACAGGAGCCCCCGAAGGGGATGCTTTCAGCATCTGTATTATGTTGGGTATCGCCTACGCCTTCGTCCACCATATATCTCTCCCAGACATCACACCAAGTGCCTTTGTAGATAATTGGGGATGGCACGGTCCCCCTGAGGCTCCACATGACATGGCCATGCAACATACCATCCAGCTTGTAAACTCTCTAGCCTTGCGCATTGATTTGAGCAAGAGCTGGGCGTGGCAGATAGGTATCTCGGAAAGTGACAGCCCCTGGGAGGATATCTCAGAGTCATGCTTCGGCTCGAGCAGTGACATTGCTGTTGTGTCTCACGCCAAAGACCTTGGAGCCATTTTCCGTTTTGACAGGAGGATGAGGTTAGGCGAGCATAAGGACCGCCTCAGTAAGGGCACGCGCATCATCCAGAGGGCTGGCAAGCTCCCCCTCGGGTTTGAGGCCCGTGCAAAACTTATCCGCACCTCTGCATTTCCTGCATCCATGTATGGGGTCGAACTCCTGGCTGTAGGAAGGAAACGGTTCCACGAACTTCGCCAGCAGGTCAGTGCCACATTGTGCAACAAACGTAAGCATGCCAATGCATGGATTGCTGCAAATTTCCTCACAGCCAAGCCTTGTGACCCGGAACTGTACGCTATCCAACAGGCTATCAGGCATGCCAGGCGTTTCCTTCAAAGTGCGTCGCCTGGTACCAGCAATACCTTTCTGGAAATTGCGGCCTGCCATTCAGGCATCGCAATGAAAGCATGTGGCCCAGCCTCTGTGCTGAAGACATACCTCAATAGGATAGGGTGCAACATCAGTAGGTCCGGCGACTTGCTATTTGCTGAGAGCAGCCCTTTGTCACTCACTCTTGACCCTCTCCCAGCTATCGCGCGCAGGGTGCAGCTAGAATGGGGATCAAATGTCCTCCTCGAACTTAATACCCGCGATGAGTGGTGTAGGCTGCCCCATGTTGACTGTGCAGCCACAACCTCAGTTATGCAAAAGTTCCCTGAGGGTGAAAGAAGATCCCTAGCATGGCACATGTGCGGCTCATTCATGAGCGCAGTAGAAAAGGCACAGTGGCAGGAAGGAGAAACGGGCCTGTGCCCAATGTGTCAGAAGTGTAAAGACTCGCTCCACCACCAACTCTGGGTGTGTCCAGAACTTGCCAACCTCCGAAGTGAATTTCAGAACACCCTGGATGTGGTCGAGGAATCTTTCCCCTCATGGACTCACTTCCCCTTTACACCTGCCCCGCCTGAAGCATGGTTCCATGCTGAACTGGTGCAAGCTAGGAAGCCCTTTCGCACGGATGACCTCCCTGAGCTTGCGCCTTGTCCCACGGCAAGGAGGGTGTTCTACACCGACGGTAGCTGCCTCTTCCCAACTGATCCTTATGCACGGGCTGCAGCAGGTGCAATTGTCCTTGACACCAGCCCCACCCGTGAGCACAGGCATTGAACAGGTGCGTGCTTACTGGAGAAATGGAGATATGCCCCAAAGCTTGCAGTGCATCCTGTGCACAGAGGTCTATGGAGAACAGAGCATCAACCGTGCAGAACTCCTCACGATTGTGCTGTGCCTTGAACTAGATGTGAAGATGAAGTGCGAACTGATAGCAAATACGCCGTCTCTTCATGGAATCGGGTCAAGCATGCTGGTTCGACCTTGACTCTCTCGAAGCTCGATAATAGTGATCTCCTCTGCCGTCTTTGGCATGTGGCGCAGGAAGGAGCGCAAAATGTTATCCATGTGAAAGCCCACCGAGAGCCTAGCCGCAGCATGCCCGCAGACCTTGTGTTCGATGTCCTCGCCAACCGCCTTGCCGACGCTTGTGCAAAAACCAGTATACGCATGTACGCTGAAAGCCTTACCGCTCAGGCCGCTTGGAGGATAGGCACGCAAGAACTCTTCCATGAATGGTGTAAATTTTGTGTCCAGGTTCACCGTAGAATGCATGCAGCCAGTAAAGCTGCACAGCTCACCAGAGCCCCGGACTCCACTCCTCAACCGACTCTGCATACAAGCCCGCATGAGCAACTTGCACAGTGGACCTGCCCGGAGGCAGTATGGAAACCACCCCAAGTTGACCTTGGTGCAAACGAAGCTGATGCATTTCTGTGGGGTTCAGGTTTTGGTCTTGCCTTGTGGAAGTGGTGGAAGGCTATCATTTGGCCTGCCCATGCCGAGCCTGGCCCCGATGACCCGGGGGTCTCTTATCTCGAGCTGCTATTCGACTTCCTCTTGACCACAGGCCAGTGGATTCCTCTGCGCACGGGCATTGGTGCTGACATTAGGTACCATAACCCGCTCCACTACCCAGCCCTACAGAGTGCACCGAGACCTTTCCGTTCGCAAACGCAAGCGCTAGAGGCATGCCTGCGGCAGTTGCAAACTGTGATGGGTAGGCAGATCCACCCCCCTTGCAAAAAAGGCCCCGTCCGTAGCCTGCGCGTCTTGGGTAGCACAGGACGGGGGCAACGAGGTTTTGTCACCAGACCGCAACTGCCCATGCAGGGCCATCTTGCATTGTTCGACAGTACAATACGGCGAAGCATCCTCTCTGCGAAGCAGATTTGAGGGCCCTTTTCCCAGCCGAGTGCCTTCTCTTTCAGTCGTCCGATGAAGGCGCAGAAAGCGTCAAACAAGCCAGAATTCGTTTTCGGAAATACGCCAAGATCGTGCACCGTGCACGCTTCTAGGCCTTTGTCTTGGGCTTCGGCCCGCCGCTCTTGTCCGAGCCTGGTTATGCGGGGCCCGGAGCAAGCGAGGATTCTGCTCGACAAGCGTGCCTCTAACCCGCTACAAGTTAAACTTTTAGCAGGGGATCTGAGGGGACAGCCCAGGTTGAACCGGCACCTGTTGGTTGCCAATTCAAAGCGGCTTTCGTTTTTTGGGCAATGTCCAACGCTTGCAAATGGGTGTGTCATTCATTCTTTTTCGGGGTTGTTGCAGAGGCAAGCCAAAAAGGAAACGACCATTTTCGAGACAACCCAGTGTTGATTTCACATGAATCCGAAGCGTCCTAATAAGCAAATCAGACATGAGTGTTTCTTTTTCAGGGGACCAGCCAAAATAGTGGTTGTGTTATTCTTGGTGGCCCTTTAAAACCAGCAGCAAAAGGGGTATCCTCAAAAACGACACCCGCATCAAACGTTAACTTCCGACACAGTCGTTTCACTGTTTACGTACTCCAATCTCCGACCTCAAAATTGGACCATGCCCATCCTTTTTGGGGAAGGGGGAGTTGGACTCATTCGCAACTCAACCAACTTGGCGCGCGAGCTCCCATTGAACATGATTTGTTCTCGAACTCCCATTGACTAAAGCCCAAACAGGATGTAAGATGTGTCTTGCGGCCGGGTGGCGGTCTATACATGCTTGGAATCATCAAAAAAATGTGGTTCGGCTTGTGGTCAAAGCATTCTTTGACTTGGGATTTGCCAAGGTCCTGAATGCCTTTATGACACTGGCGAATTGTCGACCACACTTTTGTTCAGGTCAGGGAACCATGACAATCGCCTGACCATGGCACAATATGCCATGTCACATGAGCCACAATCAAAACCCAGGTAGATGAAGGTTAATAAGGGGCAGTCCCAGCCAGAAATGGTGCGGCCGCCTTCTTAGTTCTTTGCATGGTTCTGGGTAGACCATTTAATACCGGGTTTTGATTGTGACTCACATGGAATCTCAGGAACATGCCCTGCTGGATGGGCAGCAAGTGCTACTGGCTTGCAAATCTGTTCGCCGCTCGGCCAAACAACTACTGCCTTTCTTGCGAGATTGTGTGGGGAGTCTGACATTCAGAGCCAGGATCGAGGGATTTTCCAAGTAAGAAATGAATGATTCATCTGTCGATCAGCCAATTTGAGGTGCTCTTGTTGCTCAATAATCAAGGACTGCCAAGTCACATCGAGGTTATTTCTAGGCACCTGTAGAGAATGGTGGACAGTCCAGCGATGCCCTAGGCCCCCATGATAAGTTTTCCGACTATGTAGGTTCTATTTGGTGCCCTCAAGAGACTACCAGCGCCGTGGCGTTGGCGACTGGGGGACTTTTTGGAGTTGGCCACCATGGCAACTTGGAGATTCAGGGAGCTCTTCTGTGATAGCAAAGGGGTTGGGTCTAACCCTAACCTAACCTGGGTTGGGGTTGAGACGCAACACCTGGGTTAGGGTGAAGGTGATCCCTTTCCAAGTGGCAAAGTAGCCGGTGTCACCAAAGTGTGACCTGGGCTTGTTTGTTGGCGGAGATGCCTGGACCGATAGAATCCAAGGCTCGGACAAATGTGTTGGTACTGGTAGCCGGGTTTGGTATCCCCATACTCTTGCGCTGGGTTCCTTCTTTGTGGGGATGCCCCTTGTTTTACTTGGAGGGGCTTCCCTTCACGAAAACTAGGGTCGGCTGCTTGGTTTCGGATGTGCTTCTTGTAGGGGTTTCTCTTCAGGGGTGTGGGATCGAGGGGTTTATCCCCACTTCTGTGATACAAGGGAATCTTCCCCTGTGTGTGGGGGGTTAGTCTTTGGGAAGCCCTTTCTGTTGTAGCACAGAAGTGGTTATTTCCCACAGCCCTGTTTCTCTTTGATCACTCACTCCTGGTCTTTATCCTTTTTGTGACCATAGTGGCAAACAACAAGCTTGGCCTTGTTCGCCTGTCAAGAAGTGGCTGTGGGTCAAAACCAATGGCGCCATTGTGGGGTAGGCGCATTCGCCACCCATTTTTAGAACCTTTTTTACTGGTTGGATTGGCATCTTCACTGGGGGCAAAAACCGGGATTTTGACTTTTGACTCATGGCCTAAGTGACATGGGGTGTTCCAAAAAAGCAGCAGCCAGGACTCGGACCCGCCGTCTCCTTTTCCCAAAAAACCGGCGGCGGCCGTCAGTGGCCGGCGAAGCGGCCAGGCGGTGAGCTTCTTCTACCGCATCCTGGCGCAGAGCCGCATGGGCCACCAGGAGTACGTGTACCTGAGCCTCGGAAGGATTGGTGACATCTTCTCGGTCCAGCAAGTGGGTGCCCTTAAGCTCCCCCCGGAGGGTTGGCATACTAACATGGACCACAGAAAGAAGAAAAGAGAGAGTTGGTACCCTTTGTGACATGGATCCATTTTGAATTGTGGATGTATATATATATATATACTACAAGATGCGTGCGGCTTCTGTCCCGGGGTGTGTGCGTGTGTTGACCATTGCTGACCCAGCTATGGGAGTCTGTTACGGTCGGATTGCTTTCTTCCCGAAGCTTTTGCAGCCTTGCGGGGTATTGATAAGGTGATATTGCTTGAGCGCCAGCTTTCTCAAAATAGGGTAGGGGTCCCCCTAGAATGGTTGGTTTTAATGGTTTGTGCTTTTTATACTTCCATTTGCTTAAGAACATTTGAACTTGCTCTGTCGGCTTTAAACGGACTCTATCACTACAGGACATTTGTTTTGTTTCAATGTTTTCCTGGGGAGCGTGTTCGCAAATGGAGGTATACCTAGCCAACAGGGGGTCCAACATGTAGAAACTTCCATGACCCATGTTTTGAGTTTCCCTCAGAAGCCACAAGTAGATTGGAAACTGTCAACTTCTGCAGGCCCAGGAAAGAATGATTTCCCCGTTGGTGGAAGGGTACCCAGTTTTGTTGTGCTTCTGGTTTCCCTTCAAACAGTTTCCCCGGCTCCAATCATGGACGCTGACAGGAGGGTACGACAACTTTCTTCCATGGTTGGAAGGAGGGTACCCTGAGAGAAACACACACCCACGTTACACCCACCTCCCGTTGACAGCCGCTTTCCGGTGAGCTTCTGTGGTCGCCAGGAAGAAGTGCTTCCAGCTGTGTCTTGGCATCGAAGTGGCCAGCCCCAAGGATCCAATCTCATTTGAACAGGGGCTTGTCTTTTTGTTGAACTCTACCTCTTTTGTGGTGTTTTTAACGGAAGCCAACAGGACAACCCCTGAAAGACACACCCAAAGAGGGCTAAAGAGGGGAAGGTTCTGTTTGTCTAGTTGAATTGCAATGCCCTTTCTGTCACGATCTGGGAGTGCGGGAGGGTACTGAGCTCATTTGGGCAGTTCATAGAAGTAAGATGCACAGTTACAGGATAACTAAGTCTGCCCAAGCGAGGCGTGCATGACTTGGATCTTCGAGATGGTTTCCACGTGAGCGGCCTAGGGATCTTGACGGCTCTCGGCTCAACCATACCGAGGTGTTGGTTTGCTCTGGCTCTCTTTGGGCGACCCGAAAGGGCCTCCTTGAATCTCTCGACTTAATGCCGCGCTTTTTCCTACTTTGACGCACGCAGAAAATTCCCTTGGCACGGATTGTACAGCGCCATGCAGGTGTAATTGGCATCCTGCGCAAATCCTGACTGCGCTACTGCAGGCATACACGATGCAGACTTGAGACAATGGAATGCCCTTGGACGTTTGCCCTAAGATGTCGCAAGTGATGGTCTATCGATGAGAATAAGAGCTTGCTGGTCTGAATCTTATGTATCTACATATCTATGTATGTATTCTACGATTAAGGCTGGCACACAAATCAGCAATATGCTGTCCCCTTCTTGAACGTATACGATATGCCTGTTAGTGCCCATTGAGCACGTGTTTGCCACACCTTGCGTACCATTCCAGTGTAAGTGGTGACCAAGTGGTGCCCATTGGGTCTCGACCCCCTTTAAAGACAGCGAAAAGTGGCACTGGAAGGGATTTGTCATGTGGCCGCATCCTCTTGGACCCTCAAATTACCCTGGACATTTGGAAATCCCCCATACCCTCGGGGCAATATCCCATTTTGAAGATTCATTTCAGGGTCCAGGCTGATGTTTAACAACTTTGCACCAGTGGCACCACCCTCTACAAACTGTTTTGCATGCTGGGGAAATGAGGGATGCCGGTTCTTCAGCCCAGCGAACTGCCCCCGAATGATTTTATCATTTTACCACCCAGGACCAAGAAATATATTTCATGTGCTGAAATGAATACTTTGGGTATGTTCCCCTGTTGGTTTTGAAGGGAAACAATTTCTCTTCTAACAATATTCTTACTTTTTTACAGGGGGGCTTAAGCAAATGGATAGAGCAAAAGGGCACAGCTTCACCTCAGGTGTTACTCACTTGCCCAAAGCCAACCTTCTGACCTTTTGGTTTCCCTATTTTGGTTCATGTTTAGTCAATGTCCCAAAACGCTACCTTTTGTCTTATTTCTGGCTCCTTTGGGCAAATAAGCTTCTATGCCTCTTGTCATATTGATATCAGCAGACTGGCGTTTGCATAATTTCCCGGCAAAGGAAACGTCAAGACGAGGTCAGTGCTTCTTGGCCCCAAAGGAAACGACAAGACAAGGTCAGTGCATCCTGAGACATGCTACGTGCGAACCAATGCCTTGAGTGGCACTTTGCCGAATCGCATCGCTTCAGCCTTGCCTCGCATCGCCGTAGAGGGCGCGGGACTTGGCGGTGTTCAAAAGTGAGCGCGGCGTACTCTTGGCTGCCTGCAATGTTGCAGGGACCGGGGGGGACCGGGGGACAAGACACACACATATCGTATATAATAAACATATGATGATATACAAACTCATAGTTGATTTTGATTGATCCCACCCTCAAGGAAGCATATTGGGCTATGAACCTCTATTATTCGGATTGGTGGGCCCCTTATAGGAATTGAGTTTGAACCCTTTTTCCGAGGTAGCATCCTTCACTTGTTTGGGGAACAAGTCTCCTTTGTGGGCCATGGGAGTTTCGCAGTAGCTCTCAAGGCGCTAAGAAAGAAGCCAAAGATGCAATAGCGCACGCACAACACACAGGCATGCAGGTCATGGTAGAACACGCTGCAGGCGTTCAGACCTTTTGCGATGAGTGCTTATTAGTTTTGCGTTGAGCCGCACAGGAGGTTGGCGGGACCTTCTCCGGCAAGTGCCCCCCCGTTTTGGCTGGGAACAGAAACTCAGGTCCCCCAAGTGCTGTGGGAGAGACGTTGCGACCACTTCTATGAATCTATGAAACTCCACTGGGAGCCACAAAGTGCCGTATAAGCAAATAAGAGTCTGTAAAGAAAGACAGGACACCATAATAGCTCCCCCCAGTGCGGTGGGCACTCAGGCGGTTAGAGTCTATATTGCAACCTGTTTGTTTGGGGATTGGTTTTCTTAGGGCTTCGGTCTGCACAATCGCCTCTAAGTGTGGACAAAGTGGCGGGGCAATATCCCGAACCAGTTGGTAGGTTGGTTTGTCCCAGTGTTTTAGGGCATCCATACCGACTGATGCCTGTTGTGGATGTTGTTCATCCACTTCAACCCCCTCCGCGGGTTTGAACAAATCTGGTTACAGCTGGACCAAGCTTCGGCCAGGCTAGGCCGAGCGACTCAACGCCATCCGCGTGAAGGAAGAGCCTGACGAGTCCGGTGGGCAGTTGTGGTTTGCGGTGAATCCAAGCCTGAAAACAACCACAGAGGGTACCGGAAGGGCCTGTTTTGACTGGGGGTGCCGTGAAGCGTCTCATCATTTCAGACCCACATTCAACGATTGGTGTTGGGTCCTGTTGCTCACGGCTCGCTTAGGAGCCATTGAGAGGAACTCCATGGCGCTTCAAACCAACGCGCAAATGAGTCGCTGGAGGTTGCACCGCGCGAGCCAGCTCAGGTTCTCCCAAGCCAGGCTCACCTGTTGGTTTTCCCATATTGGCAGCTGTTCTAGTTCCACCTTACATCCAGTTTCCTGGCCAGTGCCTAGGGAAATAAGCAAATGATCACTGATTCGGGGTACGAGCGGAGGTCGCTAGTCACTGGGCCCCGCCCCTTACACACTCAAGTCACCCTGGTCTCGGGGATTCGTAGCTTCCCGCTTGCGAAAAAAAGTAGGTTGCACAGACGGTTTGCGAGAACACATCGGGGAGGTTGCCGATTTCTAGCCAGTAACCAGGTCTTCTTACCTCTAGGTTTTTCATGACCCCTGGATACCCGGTGTAGTAGCTGGAAGCACTGGAAATTGGTTTCATTTGCCCGGAATTCATTGTCATCTGAACTGAGCCACAATCAACACCCGGTAGATGAAGGTCAGTAAGGGGCAGTCCCAGCCAAGAATAGTTGCGGCCGCCTTCTTAATTCTTTGCATGGTTCTAGGTAGGCCATGAAAACACCGGGTATTGATTGAAATCTCCACTGGTGCCATTTTTTGATCACGAGGAGTGCGAGGAGCGCGATCTCTCGATGGAAGAACTTGGAGGTCGCTCAGGCCTCGGACCTGATGCTTCGACATATGTTTGGTGAATGACCACTTAAACTTTCATTTGCTGAACCTACTAAAATAAACTACAGAAAAAAGGGTACCCTTATTCTAAGCTCTCTACTGGAGGAACTAGATAAATATGTTTGTATTTTCCCCTGTTGGTTTTAAAGGGAATCGATTTCACTGCTGGAAATATTGCACGTACTTTCCAGGGGGCCTAAGCAAATGGAAGTAACCATGACGTCTAGTTGAATAGTGCCCCACAACCCTGTTCCAATAGTGCTGCCAGTTGCCTCTGTAGCAGGTAACCAGGGATGGCTACCGCTAGGTTTTACTTCATGGCTTCCCCTGGTTCCTGCTGTATTGGTATGGCTAGGTCCCCCAGCAGTGCCCTTTTACCCTTTTTGGGGGAGGGTTCCCCTACTATAATAGACTACAGAAAAAAGGGTACCCTTATCCTAACCTCTCTACTGGAGGACCTAGCTGGGATTCTTTAAGCCCTTATAGTTTTCGAACCCGGACCCCGCCATCTTTGGAGAGAAGCCTCGACGCCGAGTTGCACGTTCCGCCGGGCAGGTGCTGTTCGGAGCAAGCGAGGTCTCGACGGCGCCGGACATGTCCTTTGGCAAAATCAACGGAGAAAACGGCGCGCGCAAGAAGCAAAGTGCGTTTAAAGCCCTTGCGGCTTTGTGTTTGGTTTGTTTTTGGGGGATTCATTTATTCAATTTATTTATTCGGCTGCCGGGGACTTTGGAGCAAGTCGAGACTGAGAGGAGCCAATGAATGCGCATCCAGAAGAATGAGATGACTGGGTTGCTGCCTGCTAGAGTGACCTTCCAGCCCGGCTCTGCCTCGCATCCCCATTCATCGCTCCAAATGTGAAACATGAGGAGTAATTGCTTGTCAACCTGTGGTGATTCCTATGTCCCGACTTCATTGGCCTACGACGCGGGGATGTATATGAGTTGTTCCAGACCCCCCTCCCACATTTATTGCGCAGCATTGCTTGGCCACAAAAACGGGGTTTGCGCGGCATGTTGCTGATCATGCCGATCGATGAGTTTACGGATTTGGATTTGATGCAAACCACTGGACAGAGCGGCCACACATGCTTTTGTGGTGCTGTAGAGTTGAATCCATGGGGTTGGGGTGTCAATGTTGGGAAGTGCCTAAAACCTGGGTCCGGGCCTCGCCAAGGGTTTTGTTTGACCCAAGGGAATCATTTCTGCGCCAGGTTTTTTGGCGAGCTTTAGGGACTGGGCTCAGCCATGAAGGAAGGCTCCTCACCTAATTCAGGATTCCTTACTGTAATTCAGGTCAGTTTAGATGCTATTCATTTTGACTTCCGCGTGGTCGGAGGATGGAGAAGTTTCAGGGATGACTGAACCACGCCGGCTGGAAACCGAGTGTACTGAGCGCCCTTAAGGAATGGACTGAGCATTCTAGATGATGTCTACATCTCCCGGTGAAAGGCCCACTGATAATCCATGTTGTGTTGTGTCCTTTCCTGGTCGACCCGCATAGCCCCAAAGGAAGAGGGACCTTTGCTGTATATAGACCATGGTTGCGGGTCAACCGACCCGTCTATTTCCTCCAGCAAGACAAGCGTGAGGAGTCCACCCTGAGGAGATATGTCACGAACTCTCACCCATGATCGACCATGATCGAGGTTCGTGTCATAGGGAACCCAATATGTGAATTAGTGACACAAACCTAATTTTAGTTTGTGAATTATTTTTCACCAAGATATGTGCTGCTTAGGAAAACTCACCCAGCCCCATCCAGCCCTAAGTTTTGGAGGCTAATATTTTTTGCTGCGGCATTGGACCAGGTTAGACCTAAGCGAGACAAGCTGCTTGGGACCAAAGAGTGAAACCCGTGAAAACGAGACGGTTCTATAGCTCATCCCGGAAAAAGAATCCAGGAAATCACAAAAGCACTATGAGTCTATGAGCACATGTAGCGCCCTTGAATGAAGTTTAATTGCAAGCGCAAGACTTCGCCCAATCGAAGCATCCCGCAGTGCTGGTCCTGTGAAACACCCTTGCTTAGATGTAGCGTAATCACATGTCCACAGCTTTGCCCGCAGGCTCGACAGGCATTAGAATTTGCAGGGTGAGATGCGTGTGTTTTATTTCAACCGGGACCGTCGAGTCCCAAATTGGTGGTTGTGCATTTGGTTTCTGAAAGGTCACCCCAAAACTGGGGTCTCCAAACATATTTTGGTTTGGTAGACTGAATTTGGAACAGAGTCAGCTTTGCTTTTCTGTGTACAGATGCGGGCCAATAAAAAGAGTATATACCAAATCCAAAAAAGACACACCCAGATGGCGCTGCGATGGTGTCATGGACTGGTGATCTTGGCAGCCGCAATACTTTTGCTGATACGCCAATCTTTCACAGCGCCCGCACTCGTGCAGACTCCCGGACGCGCTTACACGTTTGGTTGCAACATACTTAGTTTTTGCGTGTCTAACATCCAAGAAGAGCATGATGGACATGAATAATACGCGCAGTGCCCTGCTTTCCGGTTTCAAAAATTGGGGGGCCAATTGGGGTCGTTCTTCGGTCACCTGGCCAATTTTTGGGGGCGATTTTCTTGCGCTTCCCTAATGAGCCCTGGCCATTGGGCTGAGGAATCCAGAGACGCTGCTTTCCGTTATGAGCTTCAACATTCGCTATGCTGATGCACCAGAGCGGGAGGCGCGCTCGCTGCGGCGCGCTGTTGCGAGAACATGGCAATGCGCTTTGCGCGGAGTCCATCCTGTTCTCCCTCTTGGTACCCTCCCCTCCACTTCTATGGATCTAACCCAATCTTCCAGGGGCCCAGTCACGCTTTCGTTCTCTTTCGCGTGTGCCATGCCTTTGAACCATGGTGGGTATAACCGTTGTGGGCCGGCCTGAGTCGCTGTCAATATCGACCAAACCCCCCTCCTACCAGGCGCACTGTGCAATTGGGAAACAGTAAGTCGTCCGTGGGCACGCTCTCGGCTACAATCCCCCACATAAACCAGGTCCAGTAGTGCCCTTTTACTCTTTTTTGGGGGAGGGTTCCCCTACTAAAATGGACTACAGAAAAAAGAGTACCCTTATTCTGACCTCTCTACTGGAGGACCTAGTAAAACGTTGGAACAAAAGATCACGAGCTTGAGGAGAAACAAAAGAAGTTCGGGTGATTGTGAGCTGCCGTTGGATGGGGACAGAGTTTGTGATGGTAGTCGTTTCCCATGATGTGATGTGCCCCACTAGGATTACGGATTAGGATTCGGGATTCAATTATTTTGCACTCACTGTTTTGCCTTGTGCCCATAAACCCAAAGGAAGCTGTCCTCCAGAACGGTTTTATATTTTGAGGTAGACGGTGTCAAATCATGTTCTTTTCTGTGTACCCCTCATTGTTTGCCAAGGAGAGCCTATGTTGTGCCGGAACTGCCCGGAATCCCAGAATTGGCTCAACCCCCAACCTAAGATGTAAGGGGTGTGTGCTTGTGCCACGTTTGGTGGGCTGCTTGAAAGGGAAACAACAAGGACACCCACCAGCACCCCCCAACTGCTTTTTCCCCGGCTCCAAATTCCTAACGGCGCCGTTTTGGTGGTTCCCCCCACGAAACTTTTTTTGAGCCAACGCCATGAGAAGCCTTCGGCAGGCACAGAACCGGTGGATCCAGCGCCGGAGCCGCGTGGAAGCGCTGATTCGCGCTCAGCGCCCGGCGCTGCTCGGGTTCCAGGAGCGGTGTGCGTCTTTGAGCGCGGTAGCCGTGTTGGAGTGGCTTTCAATCGGAAACCAACATGAAACAAACCATGTTTTTTTGGTGTCGCCTAAGACACCCATTTGGGTTTGTCTCAAAATATGGAGCCCCTTTTGGTGGGTGGGTGTTCCTTAGTGTTTCTTTTTGCAGCACCCTCGAACAGGGCACCATCAAACCAATGGGTCTGTGTTTTTTTTGAGGCCAACAAAACCGATCCATTTGGGGGGGATGGAATTTGGACACACACCCATTTGACACGACCAACCCTGGAATATGTTTAAACATTAGTGGGAACCCCAGGTTGAGCAATAGGGGGAGTCCCCCTTTTTTTCAGCGGGGATTCATTGCTTCTTAGAGGGAACAAACCTTCTGAATCCGGGGTCAACAATACAAGTCCAAGCCCTTTGGCCAACCAACTTTTGGCCTTGTATCCATCTAAACAGGTTGAACATCCAAGTAGCCCTTGGAACCAGACCAGGTTGTTGCCGCGTTAGGTGCTCAAAAACGTGGTTTCAAGCCTGTCAGGAGCTACAGAGTGACCAGGCGCAGCAGCTGCTGGAGGCTGATGTGCGAAGCTCTAAGCCTCTAAGCAGATCGACCTTTGCTTCCATTTGTTTAAGAATATATTTTACTTTCCCCTGTTGGTTTTAAAAGGAATCGATCACTCCTGTTCTTTTTTATATGTTTTCTTTAAAAACAAAAACAAGGAAAACAAAAACAACCCAAAAACACAAAACGGGGGACTTAAGCAAATGGAAGTCTGGATGATCCCGTTGAAACCGACTTTGTATGTTTGAGGTACAGGCAACCCAGAGGCAAGGAACATGTGGCTGGGCTTTGGGGGTTGAGCAAATGAGCAATGGGCGACCATGTTCCCATTTGCCATGGAGCACCAAGCAGTTGAGCTTCTACGCTCAGCCAGAAGTTCTGGCGCTTAGGCCTTTTCACATTTTGCTTTTCCCATGTTCCGTTTCGAGGTCCCAAAAGGCGAGCGTGAGATGTACAGGGTCTTGCGTTTGTGAGAGCTTGCCCAAAGGCGCCGTTCCCTCATTTAATCGACACCTTGAAAACGGTAACGCGTGTGTTGCAGTATACTGGCCTCTCACTGTGATGCAAGCAGTTGAATACACATACGTAGTATTCATGTATCGACACATATTTTTATACATAGATATATAGGCTTGTCTTCAACTTGGAGAACCTCCAATATGATGATGTTTCCGTATGTTTCGCTTTGAACCACCCCCCACGAGGGTTGTGCTAGTTTGGCATCGTCCCCGATTACGTCGTTTTGAGCGAGAACCTCCACAGCTTGGTGCGGACATAGGTTGGAATCTGCAAGATGTCGGGTTTTCCTTTGGTGTCCCTTCAAAACCCCCCTGGTGCCAACTCCAAGCCGTTTTTTTCCACCTCCGTTCGGCTTGGGTACGCCCAACCGGTCCATCCACGCGCAAAAAAGGAGCGATCCGAGCCACAGGCGCTCCCCAGCTACCGCGCGGTGGCCTATGCGAACGACAGCCCGCGGGCGCCGAGAAGTCGCGACTTTCAGACGGCGATCTTCTACGACTCCTCCCGGCTCAAGCTGCTGGACAGCCACGCGGCATGTGTTTCCTTTTGGCCCACGTTCTGTGAGGCCAGGGGATTTGTTTTACACGGATCTCTTTTTTGTTAATGGAATCACAGAACAAGTTTCGCGGAGGCCAAAGTCACGCTTTGAATGGCGGGGCTTCCAGGCTTCTAGCCCAAGGGGATTTGTGTTTGACATTGTTTGACACTCTACAGGATATTTTGCCTGGTGACCTTCCACTTTGGTATCAGAGACATTTGCATCCACTTTGAACAACCAGATTGACCCCTGAAGCTTTCGTTTATTGAAACGAACCCGGAAGGGGACTCGGTACTAGTTTATGCTTCCACGCCTTCCAACTTATCAAGTTGTTGTTTTCTCAGTCGTGCAACTATATATATATATATATACATATATGGTCACCCCCCATGATCCACACCCAGAATGTGATATGCAATAAAACACTGTAAATTACAGTGTTTTTATTGCACCGTGTTTTTATTGCATATTTGTTTATGTTGAGGCTCATCAGATTCTGATGAGATTTCGACGAAGCAACATTGATGATAAGTGTCTCAAAGAGCAGATAATTTGCCTTTTGCCCTGTTGCCCAGAAAGCAGATGATTTGCCTTTGTTGTTCTGTCTCACGAAGAAGATGCTTTGAATTGTTTGTCGGACCATCAATGCAGATGAGCAGGAGACTGCGCGGTTGGAAGCAGAAAATGCTGAGAGGATAGCTAAAAATCCGAGCTGGGGGGCAGAAAGTGCCGAGAGCTGGGGGGCAGAAAGTGCCGAGAGGGTACCTCAAAAAGTCTAGCTGGGGAGCAGAAAGTGTCGAGAGGGTACCTAAAAAACCTTTAAACAAAAAAACACCTAGTCTCAGGGACTCTTGGGCTAGCCCGATACCTAGGCTATGTTTTTTGGTTTGTAAGTACTACCCTCAGCGTTTTGTACATTTAGAAGCAGAAAGTGCTGAGAGGGTACCTAAAAAACCGAGGGTGCCTAAATATTAAATAAACCACAGGTGAAAATGAATGAGGGCACCTTGCTCACATTTTTTAGACTTATGGCTTTCGACCGAAATCCATGTACAGGGGGAAGCACAAACATCTGGTATCCTACCTTGTGTTGTCCTGCGTCTTAGTTAGGCTGCCTTTGGTTTTGCAGCACAAAGCCACGGTGGAATTTCAGGAGGATCAAAAAAACGGAAACGATCGGCTCGGTGTGAACGGCGTGGATGGGATCGAACCTTCAAATATTCAAACTCGAGGAAAGGAGCCCCCTTGCTCAAGACCCCTGATCAAATCAAGCTTTTGGTTCACAGCTGTGTCCCGCAAATCAGGAAATCAGGAGATTGGTATTCGAAAGAGCACAGAAAGAAGCCAGAAGGCATCGATCCAAAGATCTGGTTTCTGCACGTGGGGAAAACACAAGGCAGGTGTGAAGCTAGTGAGGATCAAAACTCCTCATCGAGAGCGACTTGACGTCGTCCTCGATAGTTTGCTCGCAGGACACCGGCAAAGCGTGCCCAGCGAGTCTTGCGAAGAGTCGTGAGGAGATCTTCATTCCCAACGGCTGTACGAATAGCCGATTGATTTTGTGGCCCGGTCCCAACCTGGTAGGAGCGGTGCTCCTTGGCAAGCTGGAGGAGCTGTTCCTTGACAAAGGGGATGGCTTCAAGAACAATGCGCCAATAATCTGTTGATTGCAAGTTCATGGGAATGCAAGAGTAGGCGGGATCAATCTTCTCGATCTCGTCAGGAGAAAGGCCAGCGAGTACCCCTGTGAGGATTGCTGAATAGGAAGCAATGGGTTTCTCAAAGTAGGAATGAATCACCGAGAAGGCTGAAAGAAGTGCTTTCTCATCATGAGTTCCAACACAAATGACCCTTGCTACTTGAGATGCAGCCTCAACAGAAAGCTCTCCAGAGCAAATCTTTGCATGACTGCGAAGAGCAGCAATGGTTCGCCAATATCTCCGGTCTTGATCTTGAGGACTGGTTGGTGTTCAAAATCCCACACTACAGGAGACCCAAGAATAAGGTCGAGCTTTGCAAGCAGAAATCCATAGTGGATCGTGGGAGCTAGTTCCTCTTGCTTTGCCGCGAGACTTGAGGAGATTTCGATTGAATCAAGGGTAGTCTGAGCCACAGCAACTGGGCTGACACCCAGGCCAGTTGACAATTCAAGGATCTCGTCTCTGTCAGGCGGCGGTGGTTCACCTTCTTGTACCCCTTCAGCAAGCCTGAGAAAGTCAGCAGAAATTGGGGCGGTCCACCCAGAAGGCAAGTGTGCATAGCTTCCACATTTGCGAGCAGTTTCTCTCAGCTCAGCATTCAAGCTTGCATCATCAACCTTGTCAGATTGCCAGACGGCATAGTGGGCAGAAATTGCAACCTGTGCAGGAACGACCTGCCACATGTGCTGTGGAGTCTGCTGAAACTGATCAATTCACGAAGATCCGCACATCGTGATGTGTCGAAACCCGCAAACTGCCTCTCTTGTAGATTCCTGCGGCACTCATCAAGTAGGGCTTGCTTCTGAGCAGGCCGAACGGGAGTGGCGCCTACAGAGACGTATGTCGGGCTAGACACTGTCACTGCAGATATTCGTGTGACTGTGCCATCTCTGTGAAATCTGGCAGCTGCTCTCTGGAAGAGCGCAACAACAGGATGCCAGATAGGAGGAAGGAACTGAAAGAAAGGATGCCCCTTGGTATCCTCCTCAGGAAGCCTCATCAGGACGGGCAAAGATGAAAGTTGTTGGCCGCACTTTGGAATCCAGAGGCCATCAATGTTCTGAACTGCCAACGGCAAGTCTACATTGGTGTCTCGTAGATGATTGTGCAATTGCGAGAGCATTGGAGCAGGAGTATCCCAAAGCACTTCCCCTGAACAGTTGTATTTCTTGGCAGCATAGTTTTTGATGATTGAATGAGCTGCTTCCTGTTTGGCGTCGAGATCGGTTGCAATCTCTTGCCATCGAGACTGCTGATGACTGGTCTCAATATTCTGAGCGCCAGCAAGGAGTTCGGCAAACGTGAGGGACATGGTCTGGTTGGAAACCTCGTTCTCGTCCCGGATCAGCCTGTCTGCAGGGACGTGTTGGATCAAGAGGGCAGAGGCCCACGATGTTGCCTATCTCTGCTGACGTAGATAGCAAACACGCGACCAATCAGCTCTCCGACGTCAAATATGAAAGGGAACCTGAGGACTCCTGTCACAAGAAGCACAGTGAAGCACTGGGTACTGTCAGACTCAGCAATTTCAGATAGTTGCAAGGGCAGTCCCGGCGCTACGCGACCAGCTACATAGATCGGCTCCTGCACGGTGAAGATAGTAGAGATAGGAGCGTCTTTCAGGACAGCATGGATTTTGCACAAGGAACTCTGAACAAAGCCAGAGTCAACGCCGTTCAAGAGCAATGACTCCGCAACAAATTCATCACCATATGTGAGAGGAAACACGTGCTCTCCTCCACTCACAGCCTCGACAGGAAAGCCGAACCGTGAAGAGAGCTTGCGCAACACATCTCGAGCTTGGTGATTTCCAAATGGGAGGTCAAACTCGAAGAGAGGAGGCTCTGGCAATGTAGGAAGAACAAGGGAAAGTTACCGAGCACCTGCCTCAAGGTGCTTGAAGCTAGACCATGGCCATCCATCATTGACCCGTACAGTTTCTCCCGAGAGTTCCGAAATCCGCGGCACGGTCACTGAGGAAGCAAGATGGCACGCATCCTGCAGTCAACCGGTGTCCCAGGCCGGCGTGAAATGGCACAGACGTCCCTTTCAGTTGTGGGCTTTTGTCGATCACACTCCTACCTGCCTTCTTCTCACATCAGATTTATCTGTTCAGCAGCTGTGACTGGCAGCAGTTTGTTGATTGTGGCCAGACACCCAGATTGGACTTATAGTGTTGATCCACCGATGGCCGCAGCAACGCGGCTACAGGAGCTGCTACACTACGGCAACTTGTGGAAGACTATCTTTGTAGTCTGCTCTGGTCCACAGCGAAGTTTCAGATCTGCAATGTATTTGGCAGCCAAGATGCGTGTGCCTCTCATCATATGCACAGACCTGAATGAGTACACCTCCCATATGCAATGAGACACCAGAAGTTCTGCCTACCAAGATCTGCAAGACCAACGTGGAGGCAAGGCTGAAGGCGTGAGTGACCCCAAGTGCTGGACGTGTTTGACCCTTAGTGATGTTGTGGGTCTCGACAGCATGAGCTGCAATTGTTTCAAGCAGCTCTTCAATGGCAAAGGGCGTCAGACATGGATCAACACAATCTTTGGGACCAGTGCTGCAGCATTGAAAGGCTTCACGGATGTTGAGCTGGACTTGGTTGGCAGTCAACAAGCACCCTCCAGTCTGTTGAGGTATATCCCAGGACCTTGTCCAGATCCTCGCGGTGCAAGCACGCTGGTCGACAAACCTATCGCCCGAGCGCGGTATGATGGAGCCCGCTGGCAACCCGCAGGTTTTCTGGATGACAGCCGCTTCGCCAACGTCAGCCTTTATTTCGCGGCTGTTGTTGCGCACTCTTCGCCCTGACCAGGTGCCGAAGCGAAAGGCGAAGGCCAAGCCGGCCCCGAAGCCCAAGGCCAAGGCTGTGGCCGGCCAGCATGTGTTCTTTCGCCAGGGCAAGGCCAACGCGAAGGGGAAGGGGAAGGTTTTTGTGCTTGAAAGAGCAGAAACTGTTGAAAGGTTACCGAAAAACCTAGCCTCTGCTCCTCAGCTAGGTTTTGAAGAACTTTCTACTGAAGAATTTCTATGATCTAGGTTGCAGTTCTATTCAACACTTTCCATGAGTTAAGTTGCAGTTCTATACAACACTTTCTACGGTTCAGGCTGCAGTTCTATACAGAACTTTGAACGATGCACGTTACAACTTTGGTGCATTTTGCTTAGATGTTAGGGCTTTAGCTTTTTGCAAACTAACGCAATTTCTAGTAAACCACTAACAGTTAAACTTTTAGCCGGGGAGCAGAAAGCAAACGAGACAACCTCATAAAGCCATTTCGATGATTTTAGGTTGCAGTTCTATGAAGGCCTTTCTATGATTTAGGTTGCAATTTTTTCAGGTTGCACCTCTATAAAACCATTTCTACGGTTTAGGTTGCAGTTCTATAAGACACTTTCTATGATTGCGGTTGCAGTTCTATAAAGCAGTTTCTATGGTTTCGGTTTCAGTTCTATACAACACTTTCTATTGTTTAGGCTGCAATTCCATAAGGCACTTTCTATGATTTAGGTCGCATTTCTATAATCAATTTCCGCTATTTAGGTTGCAGTTCTATAAAACACTTTCTATGATTCAGGTTGCAGCCCTTCTATGATTGTGGTTGCAGGTCTGCGCAACATTTTCTGCTTTTTAGAGTGCAATTCTATGAAGAGCTTTCTTTGATTTTGGCCGCAGTTTATGAAGAACTTTCTACGATGTACGTTGCAACCTCATAAAACATTCTTCTGATTTAGGTTGCAGTTCTATAAAACACGTCCTGTGATTTAGGTTGCAGTTCTCTGTAGAACTTTCTGATTTGGGTTGCACATCTAGAAAACAATTTCTATGATTTAGGTTGGAATTCTATGAAGCACTTTCTATGATTTAGGTTGCAATTATTTTAAAGAAGTTTCTGCAGTTCTATGAAGAACTTTCTTTGATGTAGGTTGCTTCTATGGTTTGGGCTGCAGTGCTATAAGACCCTTTCTGTGATTTAGGTTGCAGTTGGGTACATCAATGTCTTCCATTCAGGATGCGGTTCCAGAGAACAGTTTCTATGGTTTACGTTGCAACTCTATGAAGATTGTTCTGCGATTTGGGCTGCGATTCTACAACACTCTTTCTATGAGAAAGGTTCTATGATCTAGGATGCAGTTCTATGAAGAATTTCTAATATTTAGCTATAAAACGCTTTGTGATTTGAAGAGTTTTCTATGATTTAGTGGAATTCCATAAGTCAATTTCTATGACTGAGTTTAGAGTTCTAGAAAAACACTTTCCACGATTAAGGTTGCAACTCGATGAAGAATTTTCTATGGTTTAGGTTGCAGTTCTATAAATCTCAGCACTTTATGCTTCTAAGAAAGGCACCCTTGGAAGCAGAATGTGGTGAGAAGCCAATTGTTTTGGTGGTGAAAAGCTGACTGATGATTCAATCAGCAGGAGCCAAAAATCTATGGATGTGCACAGTGTTAAGTCTTCCATCCAACACTCTGGGCGTGGATCCAGCACTCTTGGCGTGGATCATGGGGGGGTGAGCCTATATATAAACATATACATATACCACTCCCTTCTGAACTTCTTTTCCAAATCAAAAAAAGGGTGCTCCAATTGCAACCCAAAAGCAAGAAGCAAATTGAAAGGGACCTAACGGGTTCGGTGCCCTTTAAGTGGCACATTCAGGGTATGTCCAGTCCATGGGACACTAGTTGCAGCAAATGCACATTTTTAATTTCCCATTGATTGGTTGGGATTGCTTTGGAAGTTTGGAAGTTGCGGGCTGGCATTTGCTCTCTACAAGAATCAGGGATTCAAATCCAAATCCAACCCACCTATCCAAACCAGCGACTGATATTTCTGCACAAGTTACAATGACGTTCCGGGTTGTGAGTGATAGTGATTTTCTCCGATTTTAGAGTTTGATTCCTAGTCAACCCCATGTATTTCTGGTTTCAGACAGCCGTTTTCTCCGCTAAACCTAAATTTGCTGGCCGAGTTGTTTCCTTGTTTTCCCGCTAAAGAGACTCGTCTCACGTCGGCCCGTTTCCCCAACATGGAAAGGTGATGAGTTTTTTTTTTGGGTGGGGTGTTTTTTTTTGTGGGGCGGAACCATCGGGCAGGCGTCAGCATCAGGTGACCACGTGTGGCTTTCGGAGACGCCGCGCTTGGAGGGCTCGAGGAGCTTCGGCAGCAGAGGCGCGCGCACGCTGACGATGGCGCGCTTCAAAGCGGAGGAGACGAGGGATGGGCTGGGGTCGGGTTTGGATGGCACTGGTGGGGAGGCACCTGGAAGAGCAATTTCCCAGGGCTCCTTAAAGGATGCATTTTGCAACCATTTGAAACAAGTTGTTTTTTCACCAAAATAAAGGGAAACCACCATTTACAAGACAATGTTCAGGTGTATAATGCAAGGATCCCTGTTTCCTTTTGAAGGGATCTCCAGGTGCCATGGTAGTGGGAGGGAGAGTACCCCTTTTTGGGTTGGTTTTCCTTGCTGAGACAATCCATGTATAGGTATAGGTATTATATACCCACATGTACCCTCCAAATGGGTCAAATGTGGGTGTATATACATATACAAACACATTACCTACGATTAGTGTTTGGGAAAGGAAAGCCAGGAAGACGACCACCATTTGGGGGGTGTCACTCTAACAACAGATCCTTTCTGGTGGTTTCAAGCATCGCCTGTTTGGCCTAAAAGTGAGTGTCCCTTGGCAAGACGAGACGGGCTTACGAACTGGAGCTGGCGATATCTCGGCTCCCCTTGCTCCTATGGCACCTGTGGGAGGACACGTGGTCCTCTTAAAGGGACAACCTGTGAGGTGTCATGTTTGTGAAAAAACACCTCAGGGTGAACAGTTTTTGGGTGGATACTTTTTTGAGGCTCGGTTCGTCGGTGCTAGTTCTTGTTTTGGCGGTTGAAAAATGATAATCAACAATTTGTGAGTGCTCTGGTTGTTGTGAGGTTGTGAGGAATGTAGTGAGTCCATAGACATTGCTCTTTTTACCCAGCCTGTCGTTTTGTTTGCGTCATCCCTTGCCCTGCTCTCCTTAAGTTTGGCGAAGGAGCCGTCCCCCCAAAAAGGTGCGGACTCCAAAACCATTAGTTTGTTGAGAATCGTTCACAAACCAACCATGAAACCCCACATTTCGCAGGGCCTGCATTTTGACACACAGGCACCATTTGGGCGTTGCTTTTATCCGGCGAAGGAACCCAGGCTTTGGTCCCCGAAAAAAGGAAACCACCAGTTGGATGGTTTAGATGCGGGTCGTTTCCCCATTCCCTGCCTATTGCACCAGCAAGTAAAGAAGGATCCTTGAGTTTGAGTCCTTGTACGGATTACAAAAAAAATCCTACCCCCCGTCTTCTAAGCGTTCCCAAACAAAAGAAGCCCTTGAAGAGGCGCAGTGCATTCGAGGTATGGCACAATTTGAATGGTTTATGTTGAAGCCTCAAGGAGCCTTGCACATGTTGATGTTTGCTCTTGGCTCCCTCCTGGTTGGTTCCGACGCATTTCTTTGGCCTGGAGATGGTTGTTTTCCATTGTTGTCCAGAAAAGAGCCCTGAAATATAGCTTGGATTCTTACACTCGATCAACTTTGTATGTACATACTTATGAGCAACGATGGCGTTTCACCCTTGGTGAAGGGCTGCCCACGGCGAGAGAGGACTTGCAGAAGACGCTGCTGGCCTTCAACACTCACCTGGATGCGTCTCGCTCTGAGCCCTCTCCGCCCTGGGTTTCTTGTGGAAGGCTCACTTCCTGAGGTCCGTTTCGGGCTTTGGTCACTTTTTGGAAAGACCATTCTTAGTGGCAACTATAAAGTTTGGACTTTTTTTGAGCAATCCTCTCAGGAAGTGAGAAGGTGACCGATCACGCCACCCAAATGCTTTCCCCAAACATTTGGTAGAATGTCGAGGCTACAGAGTGACCGAACGTGCGGGAATTTTGGGGCTTTACCAAGGTTACACGTCCACGTCTAAGTACTCTGACAGGGCAATAAGTTTGTTTGAAGAGCTCTGTGCACTTCCGCTGGCTTCAGGTATGGAACGCCACGGCGAGGATTGCGCAGGCGGAGCTGGTGAGAGAGCATGTGGAGAGCAAGGCTCAGGCACATCCAAATGATGCCGCATGGCAAGACTTATGTCCTGGTGGTCTTTGCTCTCGTTGTTGTTTTTCATGTGTCCTTTCCAGCACTCACTTTTTGACAGAGGCTCTCAGTTCAGCCAAGGCCATATTTCCCCTAAACCCTACCTAAACCGTTTGTTTGGCCGAGGCCATATTTCTCACGGGCGATTTCAACTGCGTGCCCGGGCAGTCGCCTCATGACATCCTGCAGCAGCAGCTGAAAGATTCCTGGCACGAGTGCAGCAGGAGCGAAGACTGCGAGCGCCTTGGTGGAAAATCCGATTCAATGATTCCAACCACCGCTTGGACGTCGCTCGGTCTGTCCCTCCTGAGGGGCCACTTCTTTCCAGTGACCTTTCACGCCTGGCTGGGCCTCAAAGCCACGACTCCACTTCTCCGCGTCGCGGCCTACGTCCTGCTGGCGCTGCACGAGTGCGATCTGCTGCTTCCCACGGAGCGCCCGAGGTGGGCAAAAAAAACCGAGGTACCACAAGCTGGTGGTTTGTGGGTCACCCCCAGTGTCGATCGATTTGGATTCCCAAATTTGATTCGGGCACGGGCGGAAACAGGAGATCCAATGCTTGTTAGTTTGCGGCTGCGTTGGCCTGTTTAAACCCATTTTCTGTTTTGGGAACCCACCATGGCCGGAACTATTTAGAAATCTCTGGGAACTAGTTATGAATCTCTGGGAACTACTTATAGATGGCTGGGAACTATTTATAACATGCACGGAACTATTTGAAACCACCCCCCAGAACTATTTGGAGGTGTCTTTGGAATCATTTGGAACTATTTAGAGCTAGTTCCACTCTCAGGCTGGTTTGGACAACAGCTGCTTGCAAGCTGTAGTTTGGATGGCGTGTTGTACGCGTGCAACTGCAGCACATGTTTGCGCTCAGGGAACAGCAGGTTCACACAAATCTAAAACAGGACAGCACAAACGCGCCCTCCGTGGAGAACTGGCTCAACACCAGCGCCACGTCCAGTACCTTCACTACTCCCTGGCTAGCCAACACATGCCCGCGAGTACCACTGTCGCCACCGCCAGCAGCGCAGAAAACATTTTGAACCTCAATGACTGCTACCTTTCACTACCATCAACGCCCCACTGCGGACAACACCCCTGCAAAAAGCCTTCCACCGCAACTGTCACTGCCACACTGCACCAAGTTACCACCAACTTCAGCACCGCCACCGTCATCATTGTCATCACTGCACTTTGCGTCAATTACCTCGCTGACAGATCTGGCCTCTTAGCGCCTCCAGCCCCCAAAGGCCCAGCTCTATTGAGCTCAGGTGACATTGTATCCAGTGGGGTTGTACCCAAACCACAGGGACCAGTGCGGCGAAACTTACACACCGCGCGACCATGCGTGATGATACAAATGGCGAAACTCGTGACAAACATAACTAACACTGCCACTCAGCGCGCTGATGGACCTATGTAATGCCCAGCAACAGCCGCTTGCTTGGGCGAGAAGGCTCCAGTCGTGTTGCTGCGGAGGCCTGATCTACTTGCTCTGTGTGACATGCTTCGGGACTTCTGACGTACGGGTTAAAAGGCCTTCCGTCGAAACTCATGATTGGTGGTTAAGTAAGGATCGTGAAGAAAAAGGAGGGAATGACTCCCTTGACTGCTAAGCCTTTCTGTAACAATCACACAAGCAACTTCTCTACAAATCCTTGGAGTCTGAGTATGCATCATTCGTGCAACGCATCCACGACACTTGCTGGCGGTCATCTTCCCCTATTCTCTTGGCACGGCTAGCCTGCAGGCTGCAGGCCCCACAAGTTTCCTTCTCAAGACCATCTTAGCTAGAATAGGCTGGAAGTGATTCCGGCCCTGTTACTGAGGGCCTGGGCTTTCATGACTGCGCCACGACTTTTCTTCAATTGCTTTGAAAAGCTAGCAACAAGCAAATGCTCACTCAGCGCAGTGTGGATGGATGTTGTGAGAGGCCCGCAAGCGCCCAACCGCTGTTGAATACTTAGCCTGGATAAGCAGGGCCACCAAAATCACCACAACTCAAGGAGAAATGAATGTTGAGGACGATGCCTGGAAATTATATACTACTTGTATGACATGTTCACCCATTTTGCATTTTAGGTGCCAACCTACTCCTGTTTGCTGACTGCTCTTCCCCTCCCTTTATTGCAATAAGTTACTGAAGTAAGCTCGCTGTCCGGCCAAGTCCTCTGTGCCGCAGAGTGCATCGCCTCACGTCTAGGTTCGTCTTAACTTTCGACGTTCCAGCAACCGCCATCATCCTCACTATCATCGCGTTGCCAAACGTTCCTGAGTCCTTCGCCAACAGCGCTAAGACTTTGGTTTTGGGACTCGCCTTACAAGCGCTGCGAGGGCATGGCTGTGGCTTTCATTGATCATCCGTGGGAGGGGGTGAGGGCGTGATGATTGCTCTTCCACCTGCGCCACGCAAGGTGTGTACAGGTCTGGCCAGGACAAAAGGACTGGCCGACACAGCTGGAGAACTTGCCAAGGACTGGCAGCGCTGGCAGGACTAGCAGGGGGACTGCGCCGCCCATCAGCTGGCTCCGGCCATCACGTATCCAGACGGGGTTTTACGCGAGCCGTTTGTTTTCAAGCCCCCTTCTCAAAACAATGAAGAAACTATTTCTAAATGCTTGGAAGCCATTTATAAATGACTGGAAGCTATTTATAAAAGGCTGGAAACTATTTATGAAAGGGGGCTAGGCTGGAAACACAGGCCTTGGCTCCCAGCCTACCCAGCTGGAGCCCAAGCGACGAACGCCACCCCTGCCCGAAAACGTGAACTAGTCAAGCGTGGAATGGGTCACGTTGGAAGGGATAATGCCCAAATGTAGCTGCCACCCGAGCAATGATCACCACGCCTTCGCCAACCCTGTTATTCGCAGAGTGCGGACACCCGGCTTAGCAATCCGCGTTGAAGCCTGGGAAAAAAAGGCCGCGCGCCGAAGAATCACATCACTGACGCAACGCCACCCCTAGCTGCTTCAATCATTCAAGCTCGAATCGTCTTAGAAATTGAAAGGCCCGTGGCTCCGCGTTATCATGGACAGTTGGCCAAGGTGCCCAAGAAAACAGTTCCGTGACGAGCTGGCGTCGAAATAGAGAAGTAGCGTCGACGAGCGCGCCAAGCAGTCTTGAGATTATTGCCGAGACCTGCTGCGAGTGTTCAGAATGTCTGGCACTTATTATTCAACCATTTTCGGCTGGACACTGACAGTTCGGAGCTGTCGTAAACCAGTTGCGGCCGTGCTTCAAACATAGTTCGTAACCGTTCGGAACCGTCGTGAACTATTTCATGGCCGTGCTTCAAACATAGTTCGTAACCGTTCGGAACCGTCGCGAACTATTTCATGGCCATGCTTCAAATATAGTCCGTAACCGTTCGGAACCGTCGTGAACTATTTGTAGCCATGCGTTACAGACAGTTCGTAACCGTTTGGAACCGTCGTGAACTATTTGTGGCCATGCTTTACATATAGTTCGCAACCGTTCGAAACCGTTGCGAACTATTTGTGCGACCCAGCCCATATAGTTCCAAATAGTTCCAAATAGTTCCAAACCAAACAGTTCCGGACACTTCTGGATGCATAAATAGTTCGCAACCGCTCCGAACCGTTACGAACTATTATCAAACCATTGAGCCCAAATAGTTCGTAACCGTTCTGAACCGTCGTGAACTATTTATAACGCGGAACCGTTGCAATCTTTGGAGGCTTGCTCAGAAAAAAATGTTTACCGCTCTGAAGTTATCGCAGGCTAGCGTGAGAGTCAATCAGTTGAAAGCGGGCCCAACCGATTCTTTCGATTTTAAGGATGCAGCACAAAGCTAAAACATAGTGTCGCAAAGCTATGCGTGGGCAGCCAACACGTTGGCTTGCAACAAGTTGATTATTGTATCTGGGCAGCTCCATGATGTGATTTGACCCCCCGTCTTCACGGCGCAAGTGAACCCATTGAACACCTAGAACACACAGGCAAAGCACGTGGCATGGGATGGTTTAAAGCTGGTATAACACGGCGGAGTTCGCGGAGACGTACCAAACCTCAACATAGCGTAGCTGCAGTACTCCAAAGACGCGCCAAACGGAATACAAGAGCACAACCTGTCGCGCGCTTTGCCGATGCCCTAAGGTGAGCCGGCAAGCAGCAAGCGCCAGATCATAGCATAAAACGCAACACATGTGACATATTTATGACCCGTGCCAAAATGTCCGAGGGACTGCTTGCGCAATGTCAATGCCTACATACCATGCGTGGAATCGTGCTCTTGACGCCGGTGGTGAACATTAAGTTGCGGTCACTGCCTGGTCACCTTATTTATTTGCGAAGCCCAAGGTTCTGAAGGGTAATCAGGTTTGAGCATCTGTTGCGCACCAATGAGCTTTGCAGCCTAGTGCTCAAATCTGCTGCGCAGCGCAGGTGAAGCAATGGGACATAGTCACACTCACCAAGCCACATACTGTAATCTATCAACCGCCGAGCTTAGGCTGTTGGGTGTGTCAGCGGTTGTGCGCATAGTTTGTTGAGGTTTCATTGCTGCTGACTGCTGGTTGAAGCCCTGCTTAAGTAGTGTTGCAAACATTGCTTGCGTGTTTGCAAGCCGTTTCCAAGGTATAAGTAGCTTTCACATGCGCAAAAATAGCGTCTGCGTGTTTACAAGTAGCTTCTGCATGTTTATGAATAGCTTCTGCGTGTTTATAAGTATCTTCTGCAGGTCTACAAATAGTTTCCACACGTGGCCTGCTTGGAAACAGTAAACAGGCCAACGCAGGCGCCAACTTGTTAGTGATAGCGTGGATTCCATGGTGGAAGGGCCACCTTCGGCTCCGTTATTTAGAAACAATAGCATTAGAACACACACACACACACAAAGGTGTTTCCTCTAAAAGCGACCCATTGAAGCATGTAGCCTTTGCAACCAATGCTTCCCATGCTGGCATCTGTTTTTTGATGTTTTACATGTCTGGTTCTTTAACAATGGTTGGGATCTCTTTTTTTGTTTATTTCATTTTTTACGGGTATTTTAAACATGGGCCAGAATCAAACATATTTAACCAGGACCCGCAATTGGTCTGTGGAATGACCTCCCAATGGCTGTTTTGGGGTTATTTGCGTTACGCAGGTTTTGGTCCATTCCGCTTCCCAGCGTTCCATTTCAGTTCTGAGCCACAGCCATATCGTTTTTGGCGGCAAAAGCTGAGAGCGGATCCGCTCGGATCCGCTGGGATCTCCGATGCGTTAGGACCTTCGGTGAGGCCGTTGCCATGCTGTGCCTCGGCGTATTCGAGGCATTCGAGGCATTCGAGTCGGAAGGCCTCAAGAGACAATGAACACTTTGGTGCATGCTTGGATGTTAGGACTTGAACTTTTTTCCAACTAAAGTTTGTTGTTTTTAACCACTAAGAATTAAGCTTTGAGCAGGGGAGCAGAAAGCAACCGAGAACATGCAGCTGTGAATTCCAAGAGACAACCCCCTGAATCCCCACCTAAATGATGTCTAAAGGTCAACCCCGTGTGGCCTGAATCCATGGGGCATCCTCTTCTGTAAGCGGCTTACTTGTAAGTCAATGGCCTTTCAGGTAAACCCCCGGATCGGCCGGAGGAAAAACGGCGAAAGTCTTCTACACGCTTAAGCTGGGGTAGACTTAGGATACATTTTGCAATTTACCAGTGACTCAAAAGTGAAGCAGCTCATAAAATATGCCTTCTATCACTGTGCCTGGCTCTAATCATGTAAGAAAGGGTTTCTATATTAAATCATGTAAGAATGGTGTTCTAATCGTGTAATTGTCAACGCTTCGCGTTGCCCGCCTTGGCCAGTCCGCTTTTGGCTGCAGGTCCAAATTCCTACAAAATAGACTGTTTTTTTGGGGGTGGATTTTGCCGGTTTCTGGGGGGATTTGACGGGAGTTGGACTTGTTTTCAGAGGGGGTTTGAAGGGGAATTGACCCGTTCCAAAGGGAATTTGGCCGGTTTCTAGCAGGATGCGACCAGAGTTGGGCCAGCTTTGAAAAGGATGTTGAGCGCTTTCTAGCGGCATTTGACCGGGGGAAGCAGCTGGGGCTCGGGGGGTTGGACGGACCAATTTCAAAGTGGAGAAGGGCCTGGCTCCAATCATGAAGGTGTGAAATGTGTTCTTCTTGGCTTCGACGGGAAATGCTCCTTTTTGCTCTGGACCTGTTGGCGTTCTCGGGGTTCAGGCGCTTGGGGGGGAGTCCCCAAACGGCGACCGCAAGACAGCCGTCCATATTAATATTGTTCTGTGTCGGAATAGGGGGACCCTTGAACATGGTGACTTTGCCTCTGATTTTCCCGGATGCCCTAAAAAGACATGTGTATAGGTATACATATATATATATATATGTTGATGTACTAATGTATACAAATATATTGATATATATATAATGTTCATAAATATATATATATATATATATATATGCACACCCATATCGGAAAGTGATTCGAGGCGAAGCGTCTTCTCACAGCTCAGCTTCGCCACCTTCAGCGGTCTGGACTGGCCAGACAGCTTTGGGCGCCTCCACGTGGACTGGATTTTCTTTCGAGGCAGGTGACTTGTCGCGGGCAAAAAAAATGAGGCTGTGGCTAGGGGAGCCTCAAAATTGGAGCGGTTTGCCAGGTGTTCCCTTCAAAACCCGCAACATACATTGGACTGGGTGAATTCTAACTCACACGACCGAATTCGACCCAAATCGTGGGTTTATGGTGGGAATAGCCCCCCCAACCAGCTGATTTCAGGTTGGTGAACTATTATAATTCACCCAGATTGGAGGCTTTGGCGAAGGGGGCCCTCAAAATTGCAGCAGGTCTGCCGGTTGTTTCCCTTTAAAAGGTATGTTCAAAAAGGGAGCCCTCAAAAAAAAATGGAAGACACGCCCGGAACACTTTAAAGGATACCTAAAACGGGTCTTGGTGCTCGATCACTTGGGTTACAACCCCATGTTCGGAAACAGCCCAACCCGTTTCAAGGCAAGGGCCGTGATAGAGGAGGGTTTGATTCGAACAGCCCAGCTGACCTATAGCACGCAAGTCATAGTTTTCGAGAAGGAAGCCAAAAGGGAACGTGTATGTCTACATGTTTTCCAGGCCGTTGGTTTAACAGGCAATGCGCCCGTTGGCATCAGGGAATGCCCTGGCGACCTCGCAACAGTTTGTGGCTTGCGACCTTGGAAGCTTTCTTTTTGGCCCTCATTTGAGGTTGGTGACCTAGAATAATACATCCAGATTTTGGGAAGCCACTATGACGTGCGTCCTCGTTGCCAAACAGTAGCCGCAGAGCATGCCATTCCTTGAGCTGATCAGCTCGTAAGCTGGGGTGAATTGCCAGCAGATGTCAGAACAAATTGGAACTTACCCGAGCCGTGCAACCATCGACCCAAAAACGCGCATAATATCATCGTGTGCAGCTGCCTGCAGCTCAGGAATGTGGCAACGCTGACTTCCATTTGCTTAAGAATATGTTTTCCCCCTTTTGGTTTTAAAGGGAATCTATCACTACTGGAAATATGTTCATTTTTTCCAGGGGGCTTAAGCAAATGTCAGTTGGGAATTTTCAACCAAATCTTCATTAAACCATTGGTAGTCTGCGGTAGGTTTGGGGAGGACATGAAAGGACATGAAAACACAGCCCAAATTCCACAGACACCTGGGGGTTTTGGGCCACATAGTTATTCGTTTTCGCAGCTCCGGTCGGTCAACGTATCCAGCAGTTTACAAGTCGCTTTGCACACACACATATAAAAAAAAGGCAGAAAGAAAGAAATAATTTCTCAAACGGAGGGTACTGTCAATCTCTCATGTCCATGAGGGGAACAGGCTACAGTGACTCATTTCGGGGAATCTGAATTCAGTTTGTTGGGTGTGCCCGGTGAGGCGCCAAACCTCGTGGAGTCTTTGTGGGAGATGTGGCTGAGCATCCTGCCAGTGACCATTTCCCGCTGGTGGCACTCTTTCAGATGGGGATTGCCTGA